CACACAACAAATCGTTCTTTAACGTATCTAATTCGCTTTTAAATTTACTGATGTTTTCCATTTGTACCTCTTGCCATTGTTGTTGATTTTCCTGTAGTTGCTGTTGACTTTCTTCCTGTTTCCTTTCTTGTTCCAGTTGCCACTGCTGTAATCTCTCTTCTTGTTTCTTTTCTCGTTCTTCTTGTTTATTTTCTTTAAGAGAGATTACAGCAGTTGTTGGAGGAGAAAGAAAATAAACAAGAAGAGAAATTACAGCAGTTGTTGGAGGAAGAAACAAGAAGAGAAATTACAGCAGTGGTTGGAGGAAAAAGAAAAGAAACAAGTTTTCTTTTTCCTCCAACAACTGCTTGTAATTTCTCTTCTTGTTTCTTTTCTTTTTCCTCTAACAACTGTTGTAATTTCTCTTCTCGTTCTTCTTGTTTCTTTTTTTGTTTTTGTATTGCTGCCATCAAGTCTGCTAAGCTGTAGTTTGATTTTCCGCCTCTCGTTTCCATTTTTCTTCTCTTTTTTTTTCGATCCCACTCTCTGACACCAATTTGTTACGTCTCCGTTTGTTAATTAACTTTCTGTAACTTCGTTCCGACGAAACTTAAGCGAAACAAGTCCTTTCTTAATAAAACTGGTTTATTCTTTCCGAATATAACTCTGCGATACACTTAATCTCAATATTCGCGCTAAAACAAACAGTATCACGAACGAACGTTAACTACAACAATACGTCTCTCTCTGACTGCAGTTCAATTACTCACTGACTATCCACACATTACATTCCCCTCTTTTATATACCAGCGTACCCTATTTCTAGTAAGAACTTGAACATTCGCCAAAGTACATGATAGTTCTAGAAACGTTGCGTCACGGTGGTCATGTGACTCGCTGACGCAACAATACCAATAAGGGATTAAAAGTTAAAGAATTCGATGAAATAGCCTTACTTGTGACTAACCAAATAATTTTAATTCGCGTTTTACAAAATCTGCTTTCCATATATAGGCTATAAAATATTTGTGGGTGAAACACACAAAAATATATATATTATTTTTATTTGCTTTGTGGAAATGCGGTATAGTCTGGTGGTAGTAAGTTAGCGTACTGTGAAACCAGGGGTATAATATATAAAACAACCGTCCCATGTTTTTCACCATTGCAACTCAAAAAACCATAGTATATCTGTTAAAAACACAGTCATTTTAAACAAAGAATTCAACATAAACAAACGAAAAATCAAGGAATCCATCTTAATTGAACAAAACAACCCTACTCTAAACCAACACCCCGGGGTGCCTAGATACCTCTTCTAAGTTTCACAACAGTTCCGGTCATGTGACTTCTTTGTTCAATACTGTATATATACATGTGTGTGTCAGTGTAAATTACTTGTACCTGATGATGACAAAACCTTGTCGAAACGTTGTACATTTGCTGTTATGTTAAACTTATATTAAAGTTTTTCTTCATTACCCATTCAAGCCGTCTCCAGCCATTATTAGTCTCAAAGTGAGTTCCTCGTCATCGAAAATATATAAAAGTTCAATTATCAATCAGATTTTCCCCCCATAAATAAACGTATCTTTAAGATGCACTTAATAACTTTTGCACTTGCTCTTCACTAGTTGAAAATATTTCCACCTGGTAATGAGCATTCGATAAGTAATGTGATGTATAGCAAGCTCACGAGAGAAGGCACATGCATGTAACCTGAAAGATCCGCTTCCCAGGGTCTTTATTCCGGCCACTTTCGCCCTCTTGATGCCGGCTTTCTCTGCACAAAGGCCCGTAACGAACACGTCTTCCATCGAGATGTAGCGAGTAGTTTCGACGACGCCGTACAACCGGCGAGCTGCCTCAACTGGCATGAAGTACATTGGTCCCGATGCATATTCAGGATAGTGCCGGTAAGGAAACTCCTTTACTGATACAAACCATTTGTGATTTTGTTTCCGTACTGGTCTCGATCTTCCGAAAGTTAGTCCATGAATTTTGAGCGAGTTACTGGGATGGCTAGAACGTATTTTTTTCATCAGTTTCTCAAGATTTAGATATGTGTCATCATCTATTTTTACCAAAATATTCACACTGTTGCAGAATTCTGTCACCCACCGTAACATCAGAGCCGACTTCAAAGTCAAGTTTTTATACGAATCAATAAAGTTTGCCTGAATTACATCTGAATATTTGACGCTCTCGCTGTGTACGAGCTGTTCAGTTTTATTGTCGGTTGACATGCCGAGTAAGAAAACCACACGCACTGAACTGAAGTTTCCGTGAGTTGTAGCTTCCGATGACCAGGTTGTTCTAACAGCTTGTCTCAGTAAAAAGTTTGAGATAGCACTGCAAACAACGACTATGGCTTTCTCCTGGTTTCCATAGATACCGTCACACAGTTTGGGTTGGTTTATGGTAAACTGGAACTGCTGCACTCTGAGATAGAGGGTACTATTCGTATCTTCTAGGAAGGGCAGTGACGGTTCGATGTTGACGGAAGATTCAATAAATATTTGGCTGGATAAATTTTGACCGTACAGCTGAGCCAAGCTCGTAGCCGTGGGTTTAGGTGTAACATAAATTGGGCTTAAGAAAAGCTTATAGGATGATAGATAAGTCAAAATCATGGCGGTACCACCCAGAAAACATTTTCTTATTGTAGCCCGATAAAATTGGCTCACCTATAAAATCCAATCCAAAAAATCTGTTAGTATCATTTCCATATGGTATCTATAAATCTGTTAGTATCATTTCCATATGGTATCTATAAATCTGTTAGTATCATTTCCATATGGTATCTTATAAATCTGTTAATATCATTTCCATATGGTATCTATATATTAAAATACGTCAGACGAAAAAAGATTTAATATATTCGACTATTGGTTTTAAATGCATCAGAAACAACTTTCTGGATGAAAAATCGTCTTTTAAAACATCAGCTCATTCCGCTCGCATCATGAAAATAAAAATTAAACTATCAGAGGGAGGAAAGAACAATACAGATTAACCCGGAAGCTCGCCCACTTTAAAATTTGAGAAATAATCTTAAATTTAGTTGTACAAAATGTCCACAGGCGGCTCAGCAACAGACACAGCGCAGCGATACACAGCTTATGGAAGTGACCGCGATCCATTGCATTAACTGATACTGTGCATTTCTGCATCTGCGCAGAGAATGGACACTAAAAGACATACCGTATTTGATGACATATAGGACGCATGGGTATATAAGACGCAC